CAAAAAAATCTTTCACCTGCCTTCAGCATAAAGAAGCCGCCTTTAGATTTTATTTTAACAGACTTTTTAATGTGCCTCTTGATGATAGTAATTATAAAAAGGAACTTATGAGAATAATTAAAATAGGTCTTAACAATGGATATAATTTGAACGATATACAGAATTTTTATAATAAGGTACATAAATCTTTAATTAACAAAATGATCTATCCTCACCATAATTTACATAAACATTACATTACTGTCCCCTTTGAACCTTTACTTCAATTTAAATTTAAAAATAACCTTGAACAATATAACATAATCCCTGCTTTTACTTCCGGTATAAAACTCGGACAGTTAATAAATAATACTAAACATAAATTTGAAATTGATGAATCGAGCGGAGTGTATCGAATAAACTGTGGTGACTGCGATAGGTATTACATAGGACAAACCGGCCGTAATTTGAAAACACGATTCAGGGAGCATCTTACCAAGGACTCATCAGCCTTTTATAAACATCTCAAATCCACCAAACATAAAACAGATTCCTGTAATATTAAACTCCTTAAAAACATCAAAAAATCCAAAGAATTAGATTTATTGGAAGAATTTTACATTCACACCAATAAATCAGATCTAATGCTTAACGATTTAACAGAATTCAACAATAATAGATTTTTCCTAAATTTCATTTAACCCCCACTCCCACCCCCACCTTTTGATGAAAGTCACCTTACTCCGTACAGTCGGACTGAGTCGGACTTTTGCGTTTCACGGAAAAGTACCGTTTCACTTTTTTAATTATTTTTTCATAGTTTTTTCATAATTTTTGTTATTTTTTCATTTAACAATTCTTCTTTTTGTTTTATTACTTGTTTGTTTCTTTTTACGATGATCCTTGGTAAGATGTTTCAAGATTTACTTTTACATGGAATTTAACCTCTCTTTTTTACAGTTTAAAACTTATAACCTCACTTTTCAACGTGTTTTCAAATTTTCATTTTACAAACTTTAATGTAAACAACGTTTCTGTTCCGATTCGAGAAAATGTATCACTTAAAATGTACACAACCCCTTTGCGACTGTTTTTGTAAAACAATTACTGATTCAACATTAATTCTCTGTCTCAACATCTAATCTCTCTTTTGACGGTAAATATACTTTGCGTTCTTTTCATAACTGTACACCTCATAAATTAGAATTTTTATAATTTTTTAGTCGTGCCTAAGAAGAAGACCTTATTGGTCGAAACAATTGTCGCACCGAAACAAATAAAATAAACAATCATCATCGTAAAACTTACTTTTCATTTCACAAGAAATATTGGTAGAATTCCCAATCATTAGTGAAAATATAAATCAAGAAAAAATAGAAAATACACCGTCAAGTCCAGAATTAAACCCACAAGATCGAATACACTTAAATCAAAATGAAAAGTGTGAAAAAGAAACTACAGAAAAAGAAATTGAATTGAAAAGAGGAAGAGGCAGACCTAAATTAGAAACAACTGGTAAAAAAGGTAGACCTAGAAAAATTTACAAATTGAAGATAGAAAATGAACCAGATGAAATAATAAATATTAAAAACCAAGATAAGATAAATGTGTTAAAAGCAACGACTACTAATTTGGAAGCAAATATTGGTGAAATTTCTTTAAAGGAAGCTTTAAAAGAAGACGAAAAAGAATGGAAAAAAGCAATAAGAAATGAAGTAACAGCTCTGATCAAGAACAAGACGTGGGAATTGGTTGAAAACCCAAAAAATAAAAACATAATCGGATGCAAATTAATATTAAAGAAAAAATTAAATCAAGACGGTTCTTTAGAAAAATGTAAAGCTAGAATAGTAGCAAAAGGCTTCACGCAGCAGGAAGGAATTGATTTTCATGAAACCTATTCACCAGTAACAAGGTTAGGCTCTATAAGAAAATTAATTGCTATAGCTGTAGAACATAATATGCACATACATCAAATGGATGTTATCACAGCATATTTGATCGGTGAAATTAGTGAAGAAATTTATATGAACACACCAGATTTATTTAAAGAAACCTTAGAAGAAATAATAGAAATTAAAGAAGTCAATGAAGATATTTTAAGAGACAGTAAGAAAATGTTAAAAGAAATGGATAATGGAAATAAAGTATGTAAATTAAAAAAGGCATTATATGGTTTAAAACAAGCCGGACTACAATGGTATAAGAAATGAGATAACAAATTAAAAGAAATTGGAATAAAACCAATCAATGCTGATCAATGTATTTATACATCAAATGAAGAGGAACCACTTCTCGTCGCAATCTACGTGGACGATATAATAATAGCCTGCAAAAACGTAGAAAAAATTGAAAATTTCAAAAGGAAATTATCTCAATGTTTTGAGATGAAAGACTTGGGAAAAATACACTACTGTATTGGTTTAGAATTCTCGCATAGCCAAATCGAGGGGGAGACAACGATCAAAATTTCACAAAAGAAGTATATAAAAGATATTCTACAGCGATTTGGTATGGAAAACTCAAAACCAGTCAGTACACCAATGGACCCAAATGCAAAATTACAAAAACCTGAAGTAAAAAACGAAGAAATAATGAAAAAGTATCCATATCAAAATCTGATCGGAAGTTTAATGTATGCATCAATTGGTACAAGACCAGATATTACATTTAGCGTTAACTTCTTAAGTCAATTTAACACAAATTACAACGAGAGTCATTGGATTGCCGCAAAAAGAGTGTTAAGGTATTTAAAAGGAACAATAAATTTGGAACTAACTTATAGAACGTCAGGGAAAGAAATGGAATGTTATGCAGATGCAGATTGGGGATCATCTATAGATGATAGGCGCTCCTATACTGGCTATCTGTTTAAAATGGCAAATGCAGCAATCTCGTGGGAAACTAAAAAACAAAGGACTGTTGCTTTATCAAGCACAGAAGCCGAATACATGAGCCTTACTGAAGCGGCTAAAGAAGCACTGTATGAGAAAAAATTCTTATCGGAATTAAAATTCAATTCAAAAAAACCAATCGTCCTTTACAATGATAATCAAAGTTGTCAAAAGTTGGCAAAAAACAACGTTTATCATAGTAGGACTAAACACATAGATATAAAATATCATTTCATAAGAAAAGCTTTGGAAGATAACGTTATCAATTTAAAATATTGTCAAACAGAAGAAATGATTGCCGACGTGCTAACAAAGCCGTTACCAAAACCCAAATTAGAAAAGTTTATAACTATGATTGGCCTTGAGGGGGAGTGTTGAAATGTTATATCATAAAGCAATCCCAATCAAGCCATTAAAGCAATCAAGAGTGCGTTAAGGTTTTACGAGTAGTTACATATAAAACAAGTGAATGTTATTATTTATTAGTTGTCAATAAAAAAAGATAATAAAAAGGTTTGTTAAACTGTTAAAACATATCACGCATAATTTTAATAAAAAATATAAATAAAAATTAAATTATTTAATTTATATTGGTCAAATTAAGTTAATGGGGATTTAACTTGATTTTATCAATTTAAATTATTTTAATTTAGTTTCTTTATATTAAACCAATGCTAGAATAATTTATATTATTATTTATATTTGGAGTTTTCAATTGGATAATAAAATCAAATTTAAATTTAACTGAAAAATAAAAATTAAATTAAATAATTTATATTGGTCAAATTAAGTTAATGGGGGTTTAACTTGATTTTAACAATTTAAATTATTTTAATTGTTTCTTTATATTAAAATAATGCTAGAATAATTTATATTATTACTTATATTTGGAGTTTTCAGTTGGATAATAAAATCAAATTTAAATTTAACTGAAAAATATAAATAAAAATTAAATTAAACAATTTATATTGGTCAAATTAAGTTAATGGGGGTTTAACTTGATTTTATCAATTTAAATTATTTTAATTTAGTTTCTTTATATTAACCCAATGCTAGAATAATTTATATTATTATTTATATTTGGAGTTTAAAGTTGAATAAAATCAAATTTAAATTTAACTGAAAAATATAAATAAAAATTAAATTAAATAATTTATATTGGTCAAATTAAGTTAATGGGGATTTAACTTGATTTTATCAATTTAAATTATTTTTCCGTCGACCGTGTATTTATATGATTTATAAATGTATACAAAATCGTTCATTAATGACACCTATTAATAAACGATTTTAAGAAAGTCCGACCGAACTAAATAGTAGTCAATTTAATAAATATTGTCCAATGAAATTTGTAATACCGACCCAACCGACCACTATATCTATTCGGTAAGACTACAAAAATAAATTATGACACATTAAAAGTGAGGTTATTTTGCCAGTGACAGAATTGGGAGATTTTTCAACGATGGATTTTCTCTATTTTGTTNATAGAAAAGAATTGATGTAAATATGGTTTAAATAGCAAAAATTGTGAAATATTTTGATATGTATAGCCTAACAACCTTATACTGTTATCGTACAAACAGCTAACACCTTTAAATTTGGAAATGTATGGCCGTAAAATAATTTTAAAAACGCTGGTGCGTTTTTACACCAGTGGGACTAAATGGGTTAAGCATGTTCTGAATCCTAAATTGATATCTCAAAAAACTAGTGTTCTATGATTTTTTGAACAAATGTCTGCTGGAGCAGATTTTTCTAGAAAAATTCGAATAACTCGAGAACGGCTGAATCAAATTGCAAAAAGGAAAGTTATTTATAAACTTTCAAAACAGACAAATCCAAATATGTAAAAATATACATTTAAAAAAATAAAGTAGGTGGCGACTTCCGGTACAACCGGAAGTGCTAGAAATCTGAAAATATTTTAGACGAAGAGAACGTAATTGATAATACTTAAGTCTGAATTCTCAAATTTTTATTTTGGCCAGAACCCCAGAAACATCTAATGACCGGTCTCGCTGAGACACTGTATATTAATGGACAATTTTAATGTTCTCACTATAAATATCTCGCTAAACCTTTACAAAACAAGTAATCATCAAAAATAAATTAAAACAAACTTAATGTTTTTCAAAATTCTTTATTTAAGCGCATTTATTTCTCTTAAACTCTATCTTTTATCTTTAAGCTACAACATTCCATTCTAATTCGTCTCGAACAAATAATCAACAGCTTTCAAAAATTCATCTTGAAATTTTTTATTCGAGAATCGATCGACGGAAGCTCGCGCCCGCTCGATTAAGTCCAAAACAGATCTTTCATCCATCGTTAAAACATGTTTTATCGTTTGAGCGTATTCCTTAGCTGAAATTGCTAAATAACCTAACCTACAAATCAAAAAAATTATTTTTTTAATTACTTTGAATTAAATTAATTTTACCTAGATGATTCGGTCGTTTCAATAATATCAAGTAAAGGTCCCCCGGATTTATGCGCAATCGTAATTAACCCAGCTGCTAATAATTCAACAACTCCAATTCCAAAATGTTCATCAATCATCGTATGTATTCCTAACGAAGCACTCTCGAATTCTTTTAATAATTCCTCATAGGTGATATTAACGCGAAATTCAACTCTATTCTCTAAGCTTAAATGTTTACTAAAATCCTTTAAATCTTTTACGCGGATTGTGTCGTCTTCGTTGCGACAACTTCCGCATAAAACTAAAGTAATCCTTTCAAAATCCACCTCAGAAATTATCTCCCTCAATTCATACATAGCTTGAATTTGTAACTGATGGTCCTTTTCCGGTCGGAATTGCGCCAAAGATAAAATTCGAATATTTTCCGGGAAAGATCCACTCCTTTTTAACGTTTTTAAATGATTCACTTCACACGGGGGGTAAACCAACCGTAAAGGACGACTCCAAAGCGAAGTTAAATGCTCCAAAGTAAACGTTGAATTCACCATCGACACATCAGAACAATCTCCAGCTAATGAATAAAGCCAGGCGAATAATCGATAATAAATCAGTTTTCCGGTTGTTAAAAAAGGACTTCGAGCGATCGTGCTTCGATTATTGTACATCACTTGGCGAGTTGAGACGCGTTTTAGCATCTCAACTGTTATCGTGGGGTAATGAACATAACAAGCAGTTTTGCAACCCCCGATATATTTGAAAATGGGGAGGGTAAAAGCGAAACCGGTTGTGTCAATAAAAATATCTGGACTCAATGATTTTAAAGCTTCGTAACCCAAATAAATCGAACCGAGACTTTGGCCCAATAACGTAAAGTAGGGGTACATTTGGGCCTCCACAAACCTTCGTTTACTCAAATAAACGAATTTAACGCCTTCCTCTAAATGTACGTTAAGATTATTACGTATTTTCAGCTTAATTTCTTCTGGGGTAACCCCCACATCGCCGGTATAAACGAAAATTTCGATTTCCGGGTGTCTAAAAAAATTTTTTTAATACTTTTTTTATTAAATTAAAATGATTATACCGTTTTTGTAAAGCTTGTATTGCAACCCAAAGCACTTTTTCACCTCCCCCGCCGGCGTTGCAATAAGGATGAAAGAAAGCGACTCGAAGTTTACTCCGATCCTTCTTCCTCGAAAGACATCTCCAGCGTAGGATGTAAAATAAAATGGGTAAAAGTAAGGCGGAGAAGATAATAAGATAAACTGTAAAGACGAATATTATTTTGCTCAAAGAAATTAGTGACATCCTAAAAAGAATCGTTTTAAATTATATTGATGTGGATTTTGAGGTTATAACATAACCTTAACTGTCAGATTGAAAAGATAATTTAAACTTACACGTAATTAAAGTGAATTTTTTTAGCGTTAATTAATTTAGTTAACTTAATTAAAACGATTTATATCAAATGAGATTTATTTATTTTATTTTAATAATTTATTAATCTAACAATTTATTAAAAAGTTTTGTGCTGTTTTCATGTTGGTACTACCCTTGTTGCTCGTGCTGCCTCTAACGGTAAACGAGAAAAACATCATTTATGAATGAATTGAATAAAATTGGAAATCCAACTTGTAGTAGAAGTTGCATACTCAGAATAAAAGATTAATTGAGTTTATGCGGAGCCTACGATATTCCGAATATCGTAGGCTCCGGTTTATGTGATTGAACACGAAATTGTTTAACATATAAAATATTGAATTACATTAAGCTTACATCTAAATATTTTAAAAAATATCTGTCCTTTTTTTATAACAGAGAACCAAAAATTGCCTTGCTAATTAAATGGTGAGTTTTGATTTTTGTTTGTCCTATTGTAGGCTTAAGGTCGCCGTTCAATCACGTGATGTTCGCAAAAGTGCAAAAAAAATTTGCATAGTTCCGCTGTTGGTTAAAAGAGGTCGTCCTGAGCTCAATTCAGTTAAATTCAGTTATTCATAGCGACGCTTTTTTATATCAGCTTACAATTAGTCATCCTACCGTTGAAATATTTTATTCGTTGGAGAATATATTCCGGTGTAGTCTTACGCGATTCCTATTCTCGATATTATTTGGTGTTTTTTTCGTGTTTTTTTGGTGTTCGAATGCCTTTTGGTTTGCGAAATCTTGAGGTTTGAAGGCCCTTTTAAAGTTATTAAACGCTTTCAAAAAAACTTTATTATTTTAACTAGTCTACAAAAAAAAACATAAAATATACATTTGACGCCACTGTATTTTTCTTATGTAATTTGGTCCCCTAAACCCAAAAATCACATTTAAAATTTTTTCTATGGATACGTTTTGGAGCTATGATTTTTTTAGGGGTTAGTTAACTATTTGCAGGATATCTCGAGTTAGATATAACAGATCAGGTTGTGCTATTCATCAAATTAAAGACTATTGTGTAGCCAATAAATGGTATTAATACTTATTCCAATCGGTTCGGTAGTTTTAAAACAATGGCCCATAATATGTGAAAAAGGGATTTTTTTAGA